CCTTGAAGAGGTCCTTCACATCCCTGTAAGTTGTGTTTCTAGGTATTTTATTCTCTTTGTAGCAATTGTGAATGGGAGTTCACTCATGATTTGGCTGTCTGTCTGTTATTGGTGTATAGGAATGCTTGTGATTTTTGTACATTGATTTTGTATTCTGAGACTTTGCTGAAGTTGCTTATCAGCTTAAGGAGATTTTGGGCTGAGACGATGGGGTTTTCTAAATATACAATCATGTCATTTGCAAACAGAGACAATTTGACTTCCTCTCTTCCTATTCGAATACCCTTTATTTATTCCTCTTGCCTGATCGCCCTGGCCAGAACTTCCAATACTATGTTGAGTAGGTGTGGTGAGAGAGGAACATCCTTGCCTTGTACCAGTTTTCAAAGGGAATGCTTCCAGCTTGTGCCCATTCAGGATGATATTGGCTGTGGGTTTGTCATAAATAGCTCTTATTATTTTGAGATACGTTCCATCAATACCTAGTTTATCAAGAGTTTTTAGCATGAAGGGGTGTTTAATTTTATCGAAGACCTTTTCTGCATCTGTTGAGATAATCATGTGGTTTTTGTCGTTGGTTCTGTTTATGTGAGAGAAATTATGTTTTGTGATTCGCGTATGTTGAACCAGCTTTGCATCCCAGGGATGAAGCCAACTTGATCGTGGTGAATAAGATTTTTAATGTGCTGCTGGATTTGGTTTGCCAGTATTTTATTGAGGATTTTCGCATCAATGTGCATCAGGGATGATGGCCTGAAATTTTCTTTTTTGTGTGTGTCTCTGCCAGGTTTTGTTATCAGGGTGATGTTGGCCTCTAAGATGAGTTAGGGAGGAGTCCCTCTTTTTCTATTGTTTGGAATAGTTTCAGAAGTAATGGTACCAGCTCCTCTTTGTACCTCTGATAGAATTCAGCTGTGAATCTGTCTGGTCCTGGGATTTTTTTGGTTAGTAGGCTATTAATTACTGCCTCAATTTCAGAACTTGTTATTGGTCTATTCAGGGATTTGACTTCTTCCTGGTATAGTCTCAGAAGAGTATATGTGTCCAGGAATTTATCCATTTCTTCTATATTTTCTAGTTATTTGCATAGAGGTATTTATAGTATTCTCTGATGGTAGTTTGTATTTCTGTGGGATCAGTAGTGATATCCCCTTTATCATTTTTTATTGCATCTGTTTGATTATTCTCTCTTCTCAATTAGTCTGGCTAGCATTCTATCTATTTTGTTAATCATTTTTTTAAAGAAAGAGCTCCTGGATTCATTGATTTTTTGAAGGATTTTTTGTGTCTCTATCTTCTTCAGTTCTGCTCTGATCTTAGTTATTTCTTGCCTTCTGCTAGCTTTTGAATTTGTTTGCTCTTGATTCTCTAGTTCTTTTAATTTTGATGTTAGGGTGTCGATTTAAATCTTTTCTGCTTTATCAATGTGGGCATTTAGTGCTGTAAATTTCCCTCTAAACACTGCGTTAGCTGTGTCCCAGAGATTCTGGTACGTTGTGTCTTTGTTATCATTGTTTTCAAAGATCTTATTTATTTCTGCCTTAATTTTGTTATTTACCCAGTAGTCACTTAGGAGCATGTTGTTCAGTTTCCATTTGTGGTTTTGAGTGAGTTTCTTAATCCTGAGTTCTAATTTTATTGCACTGTGGTCTCAGAGACTGTTTGTTATATCTATTCTTTTGTATTTGCTAGGGAGTGTTTTACTTCCAATTATGTAGTCAATTTTAGAATAAGTGTGATGTGGTACTGAGAAGAATGTACATTCTGTTGATTTGGGGTGGAGAGTCCTGTAGATGCCTATTAAGTCCACTTGGTCCAGAGCTGAATTCAAGTCTGGAATATCCTTGTTAATTTTCTGTCTTGATCTGTCTAATATTGACAGTGGGGTGTTAAAGTCTCTCATTATTATTATATGGGATTCTAAGTCTCTTTGTAGGTCTCTAAGAACTTGTCTTACTCATCTGGGTGCTCCTGTATTGGGTGCATATATATTTAGGCTAGTTAGCTCTTTTTGCTTCATTGATCCCTTTACCATTACGTAATGCCCTTCTTTGTCTTTTTTTTCATCTTTGTTGGTTTAAAGTCTGTTTTATCAGAGACAAGGATTGCAACCTCTGCTTTTATTTTGCTTATCATTTACCTGGTAAATATTCCTTCTTCCCTTTATTTTAAGCCTATGTGTGCCTTTGCACATGAAATGGGCTTCCTGAATAGAGCACACCGATGAATCTTCAGCCTTTATCAAATTTGCCAGTCTGTTTCTATTAATTGGGGTATTTAGCCCATTTACATTTAAGATTAATATTGTTATGTGTGAATTCGATTCTATCATAACGATGCTAGCTGGTTGTTTTGCCCGTTAGTTGATGCAGTTTCTTCATAGTGTTGATGGTCTTTACAATTTGGTGTTTTTGCAGTAGTTGGTACTGATTTTTTCTTTCCATATTTAGTGCTTCCTTCAGGAGCTCTGTTAAGGTAGCCCTGGTGGTGACAAAATCTCTCAGTGTTTGCTTGTCTGTGAAGGATTTTATTTCTCCTTCAATTATGAAGCTTAATTTGACTGAATATGAAATTCTGAGTCGAAAATTCTTTTAAGAGTGTTGAATATTGGCCCCCACTCTCTTCTGGCTTGTAGGTTTCTGCAAAGAAATCCACTGTTAGTCTGATGGGCTTCCCTTTGTGGATAACCCGACCTTTCTCTCTGGCTGCCCTTAATACTGTTTCCTTCATTTCATCCTTGGTGACTCTGACGATTATGTGTCTCAGAGTTGCTCTTCTCAAGGAGTTTTGTGGTGTTCTCTGTATTTCCTGAATTTGAATGTTGGCCTGTCTTGCTAGGTTGGGAAGTGCTCCTATATAGTATCCTAAAGCGTGTTTTCTAACTTGGGTCCATTCTCTCTGTCACTTTTCAGGTACACCAATCAAATGCAGATTTGGTCTTTTCACATAGTCCCATATTTCTTGGAGGCTTCTTTCATTCTTTTTCTTCTTTTTTCTCTAATCTTATCTTCACACTTTATTTCATTAAGTTGATCTTCAATCTCTGATATCCTTTCTTCCGCTTGGTCAATTCAGCTATTGATACTTTTGTATGCTTCACGAAATTCTCGTGCTGTGTTTTTCAGTTCCATCAGGTCATTTATATTCTTCTCTAAACTGGCTATTTTAGATAGCAATTCATCTAACGTTTTGTCAAGGTTCTTAGCTTCCTTGCATTGGATTAGAACATGGTCCTTTAGCTCAGAGGAGTTTTTTTATTACCCGTTTTCTGAAACCTACTTCTGTCAATTCGTCAAACTCATTTTCCATCAAGTTTTGTTCCCTTGCTGGTGAGGAGTTATGATCCTTTGGAGAAGAAAAGGCATTCTGGTTTTTGGAATTTTCAGCCTTTTTGTGCTGGTTTTTTCTTATCTTCATGGGTTTATCTACCTTTGGTCTTTGATGTTGGTGACCTTCGGATGGCATTTCTGTGTGGACATCTTTTTTGTTGATGTTGATGCTATTCCTTTACATTTGTTAGTTTTCCTTCTAACAGGCCCCTCTCCTGCAGGTCTGCTGGAGTTTGCTGGAGGTGCACTCCAGACCCTGTTTGCCTGGGTATCACCAGCGGAGGTTGCAGAACAGCAAAGATTTTTGCCTGTTCCTTCCTTTGGAAGCTTCATCACGGAGGGTCATCCTCCAGATGCCAGCTGGAGCTCTCTTGTATGAGATGTCTGTCAACCCCTGCTGGGAGATGTCTCTCAGTCAGGAGGCACGGGGGTCAGGGACCCACTTGAGGAGGCAGTCTGTCTCTTAGCAGAGCTGGAGCACTCTGCTGGCAGATCTGCTGCTCTCTTCAGGGCCAGCAGCCAGAAATATTTAAGTCTGCTGAAGCTGTGCCCACAGCCGTCCCTTCTCCCAGGTGCTGTGTCCCAGGGACATGGGAGTTTTATCTATAAGCCCATGACTGGGGCTGCTGCCTTTCTTTCAGAGTTGCCCTGCCCAGAGAGGAGGAATCTAGAGAGGCAGTCTGGCTGCAGGGGCTTCGGGGAGCTGCAGTGTGCTCCACCCAGTTGGAACTTCCCAGAGGCTTTGTTTACATTGTGAGGGGAAAACCGCCTACTCAAGCCTTGGTAATGGTGGATCCCCCGCCCCCACCAAGCTCGAGCAACCCAGGTTGACTTCAGACTGCTGGGCTGGCAGCGAGAATTTCACGCTAGTGGATCTTAGCTTGGTTGGCTCCATGTGGGTGGGATTCGCTGAGCTAGACCACTTGGCTCCCTGGCTTCAGCCTCCTTTCCAGGGTAGTGAGTGGTTCTGTCTTGCTTGCATTGCAGGCAGCACTGGGGTGTGAAAAAAGAACTCCTGCTCGGTGTCTACCCAAATGGCCAACCTGTTTTGCGCTTGAAACCCAGGGCCCTGGTGGCATAGGCACCGGAGGGAATCTCCTGGTCTGTGGGTTGTGAAGACCATGGGAAAAGCATAATATCTGGGCCAGAGAGCACCATTCCTCACAGCACAGTCCCTTGTGGCTTCCCTTGGCTAGGCGAGGAAATTCCCCAACCCTTGCACTTCCCAGGTGAAGCAGTGCCCCACCCTGCTTCGGCTTGCCCTCTGTGGGCTTCACCCACTGTCTAACCCTTCCCAAAGAGATGAGCCGGTTACTTCAGTTGAAAATGCAGAAATCACCCACCTTCTGTGCTGAGCTCACTGGATGCTACAGACCAGAGCCATTCCTATTTGGCCATCTTGCCAGACATTGCAGAACTTAAGTCTTATATAACTTAGTCTAATAGATAGAACTTTCCTACTAAGTTAATTTCGAGATATTGAATGGTGAGTAATCACAGCTCTTTAAGAGAACCTTATCCTAATAGCCTGCTTGCCATCTGTTTCTTCTTGAAGATGAACTGCTGTAACTGTCGAAAGGTCAGTGTGGGACATGCCAGGGTAAGGTCGGAAAATATGTGAAATGGTGAAATTAAAAGAAAGAAAGAAAATTCTTTCTCTTACCTTTTTAGGGACACTACAACAAAGCTTCTCAACGCTTTCAGCAAGCTTTTGACACAACAGTAGAGCTAATGAGCATGCCTCTGATGGATGAGACAAAAGTTCACTATGGAATAGCAAAAGCTCATCAGATGATGCTTACAGTGAACAACTATATAGAGTCTGCAGATCTCACCAGCCTCAACTACCTGCTGTCATGGAAGGAGAGCAGAGGTGACATTGAACCTGATCCAGTTACTGGTAAGGCATTGGTTTTTAGAACACTTTAGTTTTCATATCATTCTCAGTGATTAATTCACTTTCATTGGAAAGGTTTACTCAAGTGCTGGTGATTTTAATTTGATTGGTAATTTTAATTTTAATTTTATGGATCTATTACTACATGAAGGTTGGATAGGCTTGTGTGCTAAATTATACCTTTGATGTTTAAGAGAAACATAAAATAGTGGTAATAATGTGGTGTACCTGATAAATCACCATTCTCATGCTGTGTTTTTTTTTTTTTTTCATCAGTTATCTTAGTCAACAATACGTACTGATGAGGCATAGGAATGTGAAATAGGCTTATGCTTTTTTAGCATGCTCCGTGTTATACCTTACTGAAAAGAGTGACTGTTGATCAATGCTAATTTGCTTTATCTGCTTACTTTACTGATGAGTACTTTTATCAGTTTGAGTTTGAATATTAATTTAGAAAACACCTGGTAGTAATCTTTCTCAATTCTACTTTTTTCCTACATACTTTTTCTTATGAAGAATTCTATTCAAAATAGTCAATTAAAAACCAACAACTAGAAGGGATGCAGGGGTCAGTATTATGTGCCAACTAGGTGTGGCTCAAGTCCCCAGTTAAGAACTTTAGAATGGGATATTTTAAAAAACAAAACAAAATAAAATAAAAAAAAATACTGCCAGACTTTAGAGTTTCTTTTATTTGTGTGCAAATCAAACTTTTTAAAGTAAAATATTTTGGCATAACTCAAATGGAATCATAAGGCAAACCTTTTGTAATGTGAAGAAGTATCTTCTATTTGATTTGAACTCTTTGTTTTCCCCTGTGGTCATTTAGATGAAACAACAATCTATTTTGGTATTTATTTCCTCCACAGAATAAATTGTAAATAATAGCAAATTAAGCACACATAAGTTTTGTTGACTTTTTTAGGTCAGTAGAATATTACTTAACAACCCACCATCCTCTACTTATAAAATAAGGAAAGATCTTCCAAATACATCCATAGTAAGAGAAAACAAGATGAAGTCTTCAAAAAATTGGCAGCTTCTTGAGTTTCAGTGTGTTCAAACACTTCCAAAATATTTACAGTCCATTATTAACTGACTGCTTTCAGGTCATATTGTGCTTACTTCAGCATGCTGTCTTGTCATCATGTATTTGAGAGATCTGTTGTTTTGAGTTATGTATCCTTCAGGTTCTCATATTTTCTGCCCAGAATGGCAGAAAATAACCCAGAGGAAACATGACCCATGTTAGATTACTTATTCTGATGAAGGTTTAGTAGAAGATAAGTAAAACTACTCGCATTTTCAGATTTATTTTGGATAAACTCCGACCATCACAATGGTAATTATGAAAAAAAAAAATACTTCTGGAAAAAGTATCTTCTGATCAGACCTATGTCCATTCGAGGCCATCCTGATTTTCGCTTTAAAAAAAATCTTTTTTTTTTTTTTTTTGAGATGGAGTCCTGCTCTGTCGCCCAGGCTGGAGTGCAGTGGCGCAATCTCGGCTCACTGCAAGCTCCGCCTCCCGGGTTCATGCCATTCTCCTGCCTCAGCCTCCCGAGCACCTGGGACCACAGGCGCCCACCATGATGCCTGGCTAATTTTTTTTGTATTTTTAGTAGAGACGGGGTTTCACAGTATTAGCCAGGATGGTGTCGATCTCCTGACTGGGTGGTCCACCTGCCTCGACCTCCGAAAGTGCTGGGATTACAGGCGTGAGCCACCACACATGGCTCTTTTGTTTTTCTTTATTCTGTAAGACTATGTATTTTTCTACACATTTTATGTTTTATTTCCATGCTTTTGTAAGGTCACTTTTTTCCCCCCCCCAACAGGACTTAGGAGCAAAACAAAAGCATATCAAAATATTATTCAGACATTAAAAAACAGCTATTCACCTGGTAGAGGGGGCAGATTAAGTTGTTCAGAATGCTATAAAATAAAACAATCATTTGCTGATTTATTTTACCTACATTAGAAATACATGCATGGATGAGCCACAACATTATAAAACTGAAAAATAAAAACCTTTTGGATCCAAGTATAAGTGAGAAATTAATTCTCATACTACTGGCATGGTTTAACATTTTCAGAGGTAGCCATTCTATCCACAGGAAATAAAGCCTGTAGGATATTATCAAACATGTTTGTTTACATAGACATATTTTTTAGTTCAAAAGACAGGAAATTCTGCTTTAAAATGCTTCAGAAATATTTCTTGAACCACAACTCTTAACACTATCTGTGCTCTGCTTAAAAATCTTCCTTGGCTCCCCACTGCCTGCTCATTAAATACAAGCTTCTCAACCTTTTCTGACCACTTCCCTCCCCTGCCTTATGCCACTCCCCCTGCCCTCTGCACACCACATGCTTTATTATCACCTACTTTTAGTTCTAGCCCCATCCAGGAAAATCCTGCCCATTTTGCTAGGTCATTCTCAGATGCTGAACGCTTCCATGATGCCCTCTCATTTAAATGTGGTCTCTTCTCTGTCCCACATTGAATGTCATTCATTTCTCTCCACGCACTTTTCATTTGGCATATTCTGCATCCTACCACGGCCATTTCTGTAATTCCCTTAACTGCCTGATTAAGGGTATAAGTCGCTTGAAAACAGGTGCTTGTTCTTGATATTCCCTACAAAAGAAGACACGATGTTTGGCATCTACTAGGTACCAAGTAAATATTTGTTGAATTAAATAGAATTCAAAATGAGTTATGTATGCCCTAATCATAAACTAGTTTGCATTAACTACTTTTAAACAAAATGCATAGTTTCCCCATCTTCTTGGAAAACCTGTGATCCAACACTGCATTTTGATTACTATCCAATTATCACATGAATGAAGGATGACACTCACCCAACATGATGTCAACAAAATGAAAAAATGCAAAAATATTATTTGGAAATCTGAGCAGCTTTTAAGTTTTCAACTTTTGCCTTTCTTCTAAGAAAAGGTATCTTTAATCTTGCCATTGAAGGGCCCTGTGTATTCAGAAAAAAACAGATCAAAGATCAGAAAGATACATTTTAAAAGCTGTGCAGTTATCTTCACCTCTGAGACTTCCATCCTCCAAACAAATCATTAGCTCAGAGAGCAGGCAATATTCTTTTAAGCAGAGGAACATGACCCCCTAAGGGAATAGAGCAATGAGAGCACTCAGGTCTCTAGATGAAATAGAACAGTGAGTCACCAGCAATCATCTCTCATCTTTATACCTTTCAGAGGGAACACAGCAAATATAGACACCTTCATTCTATTCTAACACTCTTAGATAGGGTTAGACCTGATTGCTTATTCTTTCTTTCCAATATTAAAATAAGAATAGATTATCCTTCCAAACTTAAGGATTTAGAAGAAATTCAAATTTATTACAGTTCAATAAAATTGTTTATCCTAAACCAACTGAAATTAGTTGGCTCCAGAAGACTTAAGAGCCTATGAATTTCTGCTGATTTCTCCAGAATATAGTTTACTTTCCTTACTAGAGCTATTATCATTACAGTCAAAAAGAATTTTTTTTTTAATGAAAGGCTCATTCATCTGGCCTTTTGGAGATCTCAGACCCACATATGGAACAGCAACACAGAAGCAAAAGCTTTCCATATTCAACTTAATAGCAGTGTTAGCCTAGAAATGTAATTATAGCCATTTAAACACCAACATTGTTTTTTTTCTTATTTCAGACAATATTTATTAAGTTGACAATAATTGTAACCATCATCCAGTGTTTATTAAGGACCCATAATTATGCTGTGTGCTACATAATTACACCATCAATACCTCATGTGTTGTTTTTGTTTGTATTATCATGAAGTGCTCTCTGTGTATATGCTTTTTAATGATTTTTTTATTATTATTATACTTTTAAGTTCTAGGGTACATGTGCACAACCTGCAGGTTTGTTACATATGTATACATGTGCCATGTTGGTGTGCTGCACCCATTAACTCGTCATTTACATTAGGTATATCCCCTAATGCTATCCTCCCCACTCCCCCCTCCCCACAGTAGGCCCTGGTGTGTGATGTTCCCCTTCCTGTGTCCAAGTGATCTCATTGTTCAATTCCCACCTATGAGTGAGAACATGCAGTGTTTGGTTTTCTGTTCTTGCAATAGTTTGCTGAGAATGATGGTTTCCAGCTGCATCCATGCCCCTACAAAGGATATGAACTCATCCCTTTTTTCTGGCTGCATAGTATTCCATGGTGTATATGTGCCACATTTTCTTAATCCAGTCTGTCACAGATGGACATTTGGGTTGATTCCAAGTCTTTGCTATTGTGAATAGTGCCACAATAAACATACATGTGCATGTGTCTTTATAACAGCATGATTTATATTCCTTTGGGTATATGCCCAGTAATGGGATGGCTGGGTCAAATGGTATTTCTAGTTCTAGATCCTTGAGGAGTCGCCACACTGTTTCCCACAATGGTTGAACTAGTTTACAGTCCCACCAACAGTGTAAAAATGTTCCTATTTCTCCACATCCTCTCCAGCACCTGTTGTTTCCTGATTTTTTTAATGATCGCCATTCTAACTGGTGTGAGATGGCATCTCATTGTGGTTTTGATTTTCATTTCTCTGATGGCTAGTGATGATGAGCATTTTTTCATGTGTCTGTTGGCTGTATGAATGTCTTATTTTGAGAAGTGTCTGTTCATATCCTTTGCCCACTTTTTGATGGGGTTGTTTGTTTTCTTCTTGTAAATTTTAAACACCAACATTTGATTAAACACCACTTCACTGATAATAATTATATCAGTAAGATGGTTTTAATGTACTTTCTTATTGTAGCCAAATGTAAACGACATCAGAGAAATAAGATGCAAATCCTGACGATAGAAATATAGTAGATTAAACTGCTGACAGTCAGTACTTAAAGAAACTATTTTCTACAAAATGGCATGTAAAGGTTTCCTTGAATGGCAATGATGCCATCGTAGTTTTATGAATCATTTAGTATTCTTAAAAGAGGATGATCAAAACCA